AAAAATGATCAGATATAGTGGTCAGAAATCACAATTTTCTCTCTCAGATTTGGCATGAATTCATTTTCAGGTGCTTGACAAATCCTGACCTCTGTCAGTTTCTGTATTTGAAAAACAGGATTAATATTTACCCAGTTTATGGAGGTGATACAAAGATTAAGTCACATTTGCTTAGTATTTTGAAGGTGTAGCACAGTACCCATTTATTAGTTTGAAAATACGGTCTTCTCTCTCCATTTAAAGTTGCTTGTGTCTGATGCCCTGTAGATATGAGATCTTAAATAGCTTCTCTTACAACTGAGCAATTTAATTATTTTACTTAAAATAGCGGTTTTCAGAGCATAGAATAATGTTACACAGTGTGCGTTTTCAAAGTACCAGATTCAGTCATTTACTTAAAGAGCATAGATCCCTTGTCATATCTATGAGGGCACAGAAAGGAGAGAAGGAGTAAGGACAGAAATACTTCACCCTTTCTGGAAGGTTAAACAGTTGTTCAAAGAATACACACAGTCCAGACAGAGACCACTGTCACAGAGTCAATGAAAGGGGAGCAATGTCATTGCCATGTCTTTCCTTAGGCTAGCTATTTAAACACTGATAGAAGGAAGGCATGTTTGGGAATCCATACAACTCTGGTCTCTGAAATTGTGAGTAATAAAGCAAACAACCTTGCTGATCTAAGACTATCTGCTTCTCTAGTGGCCAACCACAACTACCTACATCTATGAATAGAATTCTTGCTTTTTTATTAAACCCTGCTGAGTCACAATTCTGTTCCTTACAGATCTCAAATTTACTCCTCAGATTAATAATGTACAATTTTTAAAAACCCATTTTAGAAGTGCTACTAGTATAATGAAAGCTCAGGTCACAGGGGAGGTTTGAACACTGATGCTAGTGCATGCCTACCGTTTGAAGTTTGCTGCTTGAGGGCTGTGGTTTCCTGCTCAGCTCTCTGAAACTGATCTCTCTGATCTTCTAATTGCTGCTTAGGGCCTTGTTATGCTACTTGTACTTTTACCAGGAAGGGCATAAGTTATTTAATTTTCAGAAGACTCAGCAGCCAGTGTGACAGGGAATAGACTCTGGAGCAAAACCACCTGGATCTCGATACCTCCCCCTAATGCTGCACAATGTCGGCAAACTATGCAGACTGCCGTGTAACTGTTCTGCAAATCACCTGCTGTATAGAGAACTGAGAGCTGTCAAAAAACACTATTCTTCCCCAAATGGAATAGAAATTGACATGGGTCTTGAGCTTCAGGGCATGCCAGGCTAAAGTAGTGAGATATTCAAATCTGACAAATGTTTAGACAAGGCTATCTAAGTTGCATCAAAACCCAATAAACCACATCAAATGAAACAAAGGGTACTTTCTGACCTGTAATCATTACTACCATGGTTCAAAAGATCTTCTATATTGGTTTGCAGAAGCGAACAAGGACCAAATTGCTGAAGAAGGACCCATCATCAATTTCAAAGCCAAATTCATATCACCAAAATGTACTGAGCTTTGAAATACATTTCAAACCCAACTGACAAGGATCCACGGTGGAAAGCATGCTACAGTGAAAGACTATAACACCTCCATCTGTATGTTATCTAGGGCAAGGTTACAAGGCTAAGGCTGCATACAGACATACATTTCTACTGGAAAAAATTCTTCTGGTAGAAAATAGCATAGGAGCTGAACTATAGAAATGTTCCTCCATCCAGGGGACACCAGAGGGATGCTCCCTGGCCTGCCTGCACCCTTACAGGAGCCCATCAAGTGGAAGCTGCTGAAAAGCAACAGGTGCCATAGAAAGCCCCAGAAGTCCCTCGTCCCCACCACAACTCCACCCTATCAGTCTCCTAATTTGCAAGAAGGGGGGAATCCACCCCTGGTGGAAACTGTCCTGGTTCTCCCTCTGCAGGACGACAGTCCCACTCCTTGCACTACTCCAGCTGACCTGGGGTACAAGGAGAAAGGGAAGTACACCACTGCTGAGGAAGGGCTCTGGAAGCCTTGCCACAGGGCACAAGAGCCTGCCTTGCACCACACTGGCTCTGGGCTGATCCAGAGCAGCACCGGGTGAGACAGGGACATTTTGCTATAGTGGTAAGGCTCCTGAATCTTGCTGTTTCAGCACAGAAGTCTGCCTCATCTTGCACTGTTCTGGGTCAGCTGGGTGACAACATGAAGCTGGAGAGGCCAGAAGACAGACTTGGGGAAAGCCTCTGCACAACAGGTTCCCAGACCCTCCAGATTTTAAATCACTACCCCCCACTGCTCAGCAAAAGCAGATAGGAAGGGAAGCAGATAGGAGCTTCACAGAGAAAGAGCAGAGAAAGCTGCATTGGCAAAGTCCTTGTCTGCTTCTTATATGGGGAACTCTAAAGGAGGGAAGGAAGCAGCTGCTTTCAATGCCTTCTCTAGACTAGTGAACCCAGTCACAGGAAGGCATGAGACTTTTCCTGTAGCGCTACTACTTCTGGTCCCCAGGAGGAGCTAAGCTGGGAAAGAAGTAGTACAGACATTCAGTTTCTCCTCAAAGAAGTTGTTGCTTTCCCAGAAAAAAAAAAAGTTACAAGCATACAGATGTTCATGATTTTTCCTTTCAGAGCAAAAATGGCTGCTCCAGGAGAAAAATAACCTGGGAAGAACCAGAGTTAAATCACTCTGTGAAGAGAGACGCCACAGCCCAGCCTCCAGCATCCTAGGGTGCTTTGCTTCCCTCCCCCCAGGGAGACAGTGTCATTCACTGGATTCTCCTGCTCCAGAGCAGAACACACACCCCCGCCCCATCACAATCTCACACTGTACTACTAGGAGACACAGGCTGACCGATCAGTCTGGGTTAACTAACCAGGGATGCCCTGTACCCTGCTGCTATCCACTGCCAAACAGACTTCGGAGCCTGCAGAGCCTGCTGAGATGTGTAAGCAGGCTCCTCCTGGCCACACAGCATCAGCTCTGCAAGTTCACTGCTCTTCAACGACTCAGCATTACAATGTCTGTTCAGGCATCTCCAGGCAAGTTTTTCTACCGGGAGAACAAACCTGGGAGAATAATCCTAAATTATTTGAATGTGTTTACACAGGTCTCAGTCTCCCAGGAGAATCTCTATCAGCAGTTTAACCCTGGCTGTTCCCATGTTATTTTTCTCCCAAAGCAGCCAGATTTGCTCCAGGAGAAAAAGCCTGAAGCACATGTTCGTTTTCCATTGGATAGCCGTGATTCTCCTGGTAGAAACTGAACATCTGTATGTGGCTTAAAACGCCTCAATCTTTTTTTATCCAAAACCAGGTCAAGGAACAAATTGACCAGAGTCTAGAAGTACTATTCGTGACATATGGCTCCTGTATCTATTGGCAAAAGCATAACGAGATCCAAACTTTCGAAGTTGAAACTAGACAAATTTAGACTACAAATAAAATATTTTTTCCACGTAGTAAGGGATTGCCATTAGAATAATATAAGGATGTGGCAGATATGCTGTCTCTAGAGGTCTTCAAATTAAGACTGGATTTCTTCCTAAAATATGCTTTATAGCTGCACTGAAGTTATAGGCTCGACCAGCTCTTTGGCCTGTGTTGTGAATGATAAACGCTCACAATAGTTCCTCTCAGACTTAACCAACAGCTCCACCTGTGATAGAGGTTGTTCTAGATCAGTATTTCTGTCAGTCATGGGAGTTTCTTCATTCTGATAAATCTGACATAAAGTAGTCAAGTAATTTTTAGTTGGTCAATGAAAAAAGGTCCAAGTAGATATTTTCATGCTTCAATAGTCCTTTTGGAAAACCCCATCCAAGAAATGATCTACTATGAAATACCAAATTCAAGTGAGAAGAAATCCTGGTTTGAATGGTTCAAGATGTCCTGATTTTTTTCAAGAGCCACTATAGCCATGACTGTTCAGGGAATGCAAGAGAAACAAAATGTGTTTGAGCATATCTTTAATTGGACCATCTATATAGTTGGGAGAGATATTAAACAATTTTAGGGCACAAAAAACTTTCTTCCTCGAGTTTGGGCAAGAAGCAGATACAGCCTATGCTAAATGTAACAATCAAAACAATTGATCTTTTGTCTAACTCCATTATGTACATAAACATGGTCATTTGAAAACAGATACTTAAAAGGGGAAGGAGGGAGGAGACATAAAATATATGGACCAGAACAGAGTGGTCTTGGAATTTTCTTCAGTCTCTGCCCTCAATGACTGTTTTCACTGGTGAATAAACCACTTTTATAGATTTACACATTATTTACATCAGAGACTAATTCGCTAACATAAAGCTATCCATTCTCATGTTGAAATTTTTCTTTTTAAAAAGTAATCTGAAAATCACTTTACAGCAAAACTAATAAGAAATATTCAGCTCTTTAATGATTTAAACTTATTTGATTTTTCTTTCTTTAAGCCCATAAACATTCAGACTCACCAAGACAGTCAGCTTTTACATGGATTTGATTTGACAACATGAATCATACTGATATAAATCAAACTAACCTAGTAACTCCATTGAAGCATGAAGCCAGACTGCCAACAAAGGAACTGTTAAATGTGGTTTTATTTTACTGTGCCGTATGTTTATTCTATGGTTAGATTTGTTGCCCATGCTAAGTAAATTTACTAATCTACTATTTCTGCAATATGAAGCCATTTGGCATTTTCAAAATACTTAGTGTCATTTAAATCAAGTCAATTTTGAATCTATTCTCCATATCAAAATGCAACAGAAATATTACTTGAGTCATTCTTGGGCAGCCTCTCACTCATTCCCATTTGTTTGCTACATAAACAAGATAACATTATGACTATATAGATTTACTACATTATTGTAATTTTTTGTTTAATAAAAACTTAACATAACTAATTAATATTTCTGGCATTTGACTGATATCGCTCTTGAAATCTAACTTAACTCACAGACGCACAAAAAGAGGAGAGTAAATTCTAAGATATCAAGGAAAACCTCTCAAAAATAAGGGAGAAAAAAGGGATTTACCCCTTGATGGACAACTTTTGCACAGTCCTTTGCCATTTTTCCGAGGAATAAAATATTGATGCTGCTGGTTCTTGAACACAAATTCTCCATATCTATAAAGAAAAGTAGAAAGCATCCATATTACTACACTATAACTAAATGGTCATTAAAAAGGAATTACACATTTTTCTACAGAATCCAATATACTTTCTTTGGAATAAAGGCATATAAAACATGCAAACACATTTTAAAAGGTACGCACTACCAGCTGGCAGGGTCTGGACAACTTGTTGTACTAGGTCGCCAGCAGCTAGGTTGTGAAGGGGCCAAACCAGAATCAGGAGGATTGTGCAGAATTCAAGTGTCAGGAAACCAGAAGGCAGAAGGTCAGTGTGAGGAGCCAAGTCAAAAAGCTGAAAGGTTGAGCAAAACACAGTCAGAGGGCTAGGCTGGGTTGGGTAGCAAGGAGATCAAGTTGGGAATTGAGTTGAGGGAGAAGCTGAGTTAAGAAGCTGAAGAAAAGTCAGGTAGAGAGGGGAGTCTGAAGGCGAGCTGGGTTAGGTAGTTGAGAGATCAGGCAGAAAGCTGGCAGAGACATGAACTGTGAGAAACAGTAAGGCAGTGTGGGTAAGAATTCAGCCTCTCCCTCAATCCAATGCCCAGCCTGATCCCATGCCTATTCAACCCGACTTGCCCCCTGACTGCACTCTGCCCAACCCTTCAGCTTTCTGACTCAGCTACTCAGACTGATCACCTGGCTTCATGGCACTTGGATTCTGCATATTCCTCTCAACCCTGGTAAGCCTCCTCAGACCCCAAGCAACTTCTGGATCTGGCTTTCCATGACCCAGCACAATAACCACAACCAGTTACGTAACTAATACTGACTTTACCAAACGGAAATCTGTACATCTGAGTACCATTTAAAACATGCTTCTGCAGAGCATCAACATAATATTAAACAGAAGGCAATTTTACACACGTTTTGGGACGTGGCACCGGGCGCTTTAATTAGTGAGCCACATTAATTAAAAGCACCCATCTGTCACATATCAGTGTTTCCACACAGAAAAATGATGGCGGAGCACTTTGAACTAAAGTTCATGGAACATGTTTCAGTTCAAAATGCCCTGCTGCCATTTTTTCAGCATGAAGACGCTGATACACGTGACGTGGAAGGCTGCCAAAATGCAATTTCCATGCTCCAACAGACTCAATTAATCAACTCTGCCAGCATGTTGGAACAGGCTTCCCACCAACCTGTAGATGCCCAGAAATGGCAAATATTCTGCTTGAAAAATTAATTATACAGTATTAGGAAGAAGATGGTATCAAATCTTATTTGATTTTATCAGTGTAGAATATGGAGATAATCAAGGATTTGAAAAAAAAATCTACTCACTCATCTCAGGTAAAAAGTCTTCCCTGGTAAGTAAGGAAAGTTATGCATGCTTAACTGCAGAAATTAAGCATTCATTTTAAAACAGATTTCTAGCTGCAACTGTTTAAAAAATAACTTCCCATATGTGAATCAATACACTGTCAACTTCTTCAGGCAATGAAAGGACTGGTACCTCTGCAGAGCCTTGTAGCTTTCTTGAGCAAGAGAATGAAATTAACAAGACCCTGAAAGCTTGCTTCTAGTCTTCAGACTGCTGTGGTTAGCAGTAAAACTGATAAGAATCACATCTGTTTCACCCTCCTGCTGCTATAAGCAACAGCAACAGTAGGCACCATTACTACATATAGAGGAATACCTACACACAAAAACAGCACTTGAGGCTGCTGGATAAATAGAGTAATGAAGAAGCCACAGCGAAGACAGCTGATAGGCATCAAGCTGTGGAGATCCTCTAAAAAGCGGGCTATAGGGTAGACATCTAAAGGGGGTGGGGAGAGAAGGAAATAAATACTCCTTATCCTAAACCAGGGGAGGGGCTTCAAAATTTGAAACCTTAATAGCCAAAGTCTTAATTCCAGAATAAGAGCTCTTGAGCAACATCTAGGTAGATCTTCCCAGGAAGCAGGAAAACCAGCTTCTCTACATCATGTTCCTTTTAATCTTATTTCCTTCTCTAATCTTTTCTTTCTGCTTCTAACCATGCAATTGAGTCCTATAAGTAGTTGATGCACAATAAATTGTTTAACCTCTAAAGAATCACCTCAACTGTTGTTTTAATACACTTAGCCTGGAACAGAATAAAGTAGGCATGCACAGATAGAGATATTTGGGGCCGATACTGATAGCCAATGTTTAAGGAGGCATATTGGCCAATACTGATCTGAGTCCCAATGCACCTGCCTCCAGCCATTAAGTCTGGTGTGGTGGAAGTGGAGGAGGGCAGATCAGTGCCCCCTGCAGTAAGGGAGGGGGCAGGGGCAGGCGTTGCTGAGGTGGGACAGAAGGAGTCCAGAGCTACAGCTCATGAGAGGGTGGGGGGGAAGATGGCTCCTGCTGCTTGCACCCTGGAAGGGCACTGGTGGGGTGGGGTGGGGGGAGAGGATGTTCCCCCTAGATCTCAGCAGGGCAGGCTGCAGCCAGGGCTGCAGTGGGGGTGGGCTCTGAGCGGGCACCAGCAGCGCTGGGAGGATGCTGCATCCACCCCAAAATTTTGCTGCTGCTCCACTGCTGCTGCCCTGCACAGCCCCAGCTCAACGCTCCGCCCATGGCAGCAGCAAAACATGAGGTGGATACAGCATCCTCCCAGCACTGCCAGCGCCTGCTCCGACCCCAGCCCCTGCCAAAAAGAGCCCCGCACAACCCCGGCTACAGCCTGCCCCACCCCACACAGATACAGGGGGCACAAGCCCCCCACACACACACTCTCCAGGGGCAAGCAGCAGTGGCAGCCACCTAGGCCCTCCCTATAAGCCACCGCTCTGCCCCCCAGCCCGGGTAGTGTCTGCCCTTGCCCACTCCCTCACCATGGGGGATGTTGATCTGTTCCCCCCCCACACGCCTTCCCTGCTCCCTCCCCTTCCACCACACCGGACTTACTAGCTAAAGGCAGCTCTCCACACTGCCAGCTGTGCTCCTTGCTGCCTGAGTGTTGCACTGCAGCTGTGCGCAGCATGGGCATTTATTGGCCAAATTATCAGCCTCATTGAGCCAATATCCAAAACAGCTAGTTTTCTTTATATCGGTACCAATCTGATATCAGACTGATGTATTGGTGCACCTCTAGGATAAAGCCAATTAACAGATTTAGCATAGTCTTCATCCATCAGTGTAATGGTTACAGTAAAAGTTCTGTTCCAAGTAACAGCCACAGTGCATGCAAAAATATCATATTTACTCAAATATGAGACAAGGTTTCCCGCCCCTCCCATGAGAAAAAAGCTCCTCATCTTATTTGCTTACCAGGAAACCTCATTAAATACACTGTCTATATTAAACTGCTGCCAAAAGCAGCATGTTCTCAGTAATGGAAATGAACTATGAAGTTGATTAAATGAAGCCAACACTGAACATGGACCATAAAACACATGGCCCATATTTGGCCAAGAGATGGGAAATGTTTTGGGTTTTTTTGGAAAAAATGTTTCTGACTCTCTCTCTGTGGTTATATATCTCTACACTCCGAGTATCACTCCACAAAGAAAACCTTAACCCGTTACAAAAACCGCAGCCCGTGCACATGTACAAAGACCCACTGACCAGCTGGACCCATTATAATATCCGCACTACGCGCTACATATTCAAACAAACTCTGGTCTCCCAGATCAGGCAACCCCTTCCGGGAAACCCTTTCCTTTCATCCCCACCCTGCTTGCGAGGTCACATACTCAGTTCACCTGTCGTCCATGTCAGTGTCACTCCAGCTCCCCTGGAGTGACCTGCTGCTGCTGTTGCTGTCTTCCGTTCCATTTGTTTGTTCCTCTTCCTCACTGTCACCGCCCCCTTCCCTACTAAGGGGAAGTTGGAAGATCCTGTGCCACATGTCTTTGTGCCAGGTGGCTTTGGCCACGTCTTCTCCATCCTCCACTACTGATTTCTGGTAGTAGGTCTAGAGTTTGCTTAGTGCCATATTCACGCAGCCTACTACCTCTACATAGTACAGCAGGTTCCTGGCCTTCCACGGGGCACACCTGACACAGGATGCAAATGGGTTGAAACAGGCTAACAGCTTCCCCTGATGTTTGGCAAGGTGTCTATACAGCACCACTTTTCTGGTTAGCTGGGTAACGCCGGTCACCACTTCGCAGAGCTGCTTCATCTTTTTTCATGCCTCCTTGATGCAGGTGCAAACCCAGAGGATGTGGTTGATTGCCTTGGTGGCTCTGTGGCAGTTTGGCCACAGACAGCTGGGTCTCCCCAGCTGACCCTCTCTATGCCTCTGGGCCCTTGCTGGCAGGGCTCAGTGGGCTATGAGCCAGTTCAGATCCTTGTGATATTTATGTAGATCCTTGTGGTTGATGCACTCCCACAGAGCCTGGCACGCATCACCCAGGAGCAGTTTCACAGGTGACGTGATGTCCCTCAGCCTCACCGTCCCCTGGATCTTCTTGTGGATGCTCATGGTTGCGGGGCCTGTGCTCTGCAGGCCGTACAAGCTGCAGCACTGGTTTAGGATCTTGTAGAACCACGGTGCGTCCATGATGCACAGTCTGCAGTTGGTCAGGGTTTACACTCCCCAATGTCTCAAGATATGCCCTGCAAAATATCTCCCCCAAGCAAGCTGTTTTGCATTGCATGCCCGTCTCCAGCTTGCAGATCTGACTCGTATACTTGGCCCACAGGAACAGGAGGATGTCTGGCATGCCCCTGTTCCTGGCCCTCTTGTCACTGTACAAGGTCTTCCTGGTGACCTTTTCGCATCAGGAGCCCCAGAAGAAAATGCACACGGCCCTCTGGGCAACAGACTTGGAATGGAGGGGGAGAAAGGGAGACCAGTGCAGTGTACAGAAGTACTGGTAACAACACCGCCTTCATTAGCATGACATGCTCCCTCCCCGCCCCCCCCCATGGAGAGGGAGATGGGAACTTATCAGAAGAATAGGTTAGTGCAACCCACCTAAATAAGACATATGGCAGTACCCATTGAGTGCAGTTACCCTCAGTGCCAACTTTTTCGAATCATACCAAGCCGTGACACTGAACACACTTCAACTTCCTCTTCACTCCCACAGCTGAGCTCTGCCTTTCTTTCCCATTTCCAATGAGTCCTGTTTATTCCCCAGCTTTAAATATCTGGCAATCATCACCAAACACAGCTCCACACAGTTTACCTAGAATCCCTCTGTTGCCCCCTTTCTCAGCCTGTCTCGTATGATTAGTGTGGCCCTGCTCTCTGAGATGGGGTCGGGCCAGGTTGCCCCACATATAAATTTTGTGACGATCCCACAACTCATGACAAGAACACCCAGTTACAGTCATGAGTAGGGGGGGCTAATTAGCACATGGCTCCTTGAGTGTGGGGGGCCAGGGGGAGGGTCTCTGAAGTACAAACATATACTGAGCAATACTAAGCTATAGGGTCACCATGGCTTGAAAAACACTGTTAACTCTGCTGGGGCCCAGCCTAATGAACTATATGGTAAAACCTGAGCCTTTTGGCTTTGGACTAATATCATGTACAGTTCATACTACATATAAGTAGGTACAAAAAGTGATGCTTAAAAATGCGTTTATGGAGCACATGTACCAAAACTTGTAGCAGTTTCAAAAAAGACAAAATGCCTCAATTCGGGATGAACCAAGACTATGGGTACCAACAGTAATTTGTCTATATGCAAACTACTACAGGCATGTTTATTTCAAAGTCAGTGTTTTCAAATTTATCCTCAGTTTTATGTGCTCAGGGACACCAGGTTCTGGCAGTAAGGTGAGTGGGAAAGGGGCTGCAGAGGGAAAAAATGGGGGTGGGGGGGAGGACAAGGGAGCCACCATCCCTCCCCTCCCAGCTACTATTTTGCCTGCTGTAGCAGTGGGAAGGGGACAAATTCAGGACAGACTTCCAAGAATTATATTCAATACCTGGGAAAGTATTTTAAAACATTTTCCATATATAGACTCTAATAAAACTGGGGAGGGGTTGTCTTATATTCAAGTAAATACAGTAACTTTGATTAACTTTTCTGTGCAGTTTTCCTCATGGTTACGAACTGAAGAAATAAACTCTTAGGGCAGTTCAGGCAAGTAACATATTGATGGAACAATATATAATTACACACTACAAGTCTCCATGGTAGGAAACCTACTGAATCACTAAGGTAAGGCCCTTTCTAATGATTCTGTGATATAACCTTAAAATACTACTTGTTTGAGGAGAAAGACAGTTTTTATTGCACTAAACATGCTAAAGTAGCTCTTTAATCACTGTTTATTATTATTACTGGCATAGCAAAACCTTAAAGATACCCAAGTAATTTCATGAAAAATAAAGAATGCTATATTTAAACAGAATACCTTGTAGTATAATCTTGAAGGAATCTGTTCCATTTCCAAGTTGAATTAAAGGATAGGAGAGAGTAACAGTTCCCTAAAAGGGAGAGAAGAGAAAAAACTAGTTTACAAAAATAAAAACTCTAAAATGAACCTCTAGGCAACTGTAGGTCACCACAGCAACACTAAACTGTAGATGTATCAAACTATAAATCCAACATTTTTTTTGAGCATTAGGCATGACTTAGTATCATGCCCTGACAAGCTCTTCATTAGGAAAGGTTTGGAGCAATTTGTTTGGTGTAGGTAGAGAAAGTAGCTCTGCAAGGAATGCTGCCAGAAATTATCATGCTAACGTCACCGATTACTTCTGAAACATAGGTCACGTAGTTAAATTAATAATTACAAAAGTAAGTTCTGTTAGTTAATCTCATTCACAGCAGAAAAAGGTGGTTTGAAGCAGGACAATTAAACTCTCAGAAGTGATGACAGATTACAAATATTTTGGAGGAAAGTAATAAAAACTTGTACATGAAATCAAAATTAGAGTCCAGAAACATAAGAAATAAAAGAATTTCACATAAGTAAACAATCCTTTGAATAAACATTTAAATCCTTGGGGGAACAGACGAGAATAGCAGTATTACATAAATCTGGGGATTGTCGGATCATCTATTTAATCAGTCAATGTGAAAGCAGCAAAGGCGGCAAATGCTTTAGTGGCTATAGGGAAAAAAACACACTTCTTATAATGAAATTATATTTGTAGTAAAGTCAGATGAAAGCCTGGAATTACAACAGTGAGCTATGATGCCACTCACAATACAAATATACTTTAATGTGCTTTGTTAAAAGAATGTCACCCCAAAATATTCTACTATTTAAAAAAAAAAGGAAAGTTATGCTATTCATTCATGCTCTGCAGGCTGAATACAGAGATCTTTTAAAAAAATAAAAAATTGGAGAGAAATTTAGAGGACGAAACAAAAGTTTGAAAGTTAAGTCTATGGTTTATTCAAGAGAATTAGCTATGCTCAGTATACAGAAAAACTACTTTGGACAGAGGAGGAAAGATGCACAGTCTTGCTACAGGGCAGGCCAGTTATTTCCACTAGCTAACCAGAATGGAAGTAGTCATAGTGGTTTTATAGTGCATCAGGGAAAACATAGTACTGTTTTCCAGCATTTAACCCAAGTGGAAAAAGCTGTCAAAAGAGCTTGTGGAACCACTGACACTTAAGTTGAATAAGGTTAGTTAGTTACTTAATATGGAGATTTTTAGGAGTATAATCAGTCCCATCACAACAAAGGGTAACTAACCAGAACACAAACCCAGAATTATTAGGATTGACAAATAATTATTAGCTGAATGTTTTCTAAAAACAATTAATTAAACAAATACAATTCTCCTCTACTCCAAATATCACTGATTTTTTACTATACTAAAAATAAAGTCTAACAAATTTATTGATGCCAAGGTAGCAATAATATTTCATTTTAAAAAAACAAACAGGAAGTTACAACTTTAAATTTTTTAATGGAAAAATGCAACAATTTTTGTAGAGCAATATTAAGTACCATGGGTGCATACTTTAAAGACCATTACATAATACTTTATGGAAGGTTCTGGAAATACCTCCATAGACATGTAAACAAGGATTTGTTACTACTTTTTTTTTTTTTTTAATTTTGGGCTTCATTTAAACTTTCTAGAAAACAGTACTTTGTTTTACTGAGCAATGTATAAACAAGCCAAGCAAGAATACCATATTTACCCAGATCCAAGACAACTCTGAACTTAGCACAACCCCCAATAATTAAGATTCTAGAAAGATTTTTTATTCTCTTGCCCTCATACACCCCTTCACCCTCACACAGTATAATCTACTCTGTGCTTCTCCCCAGTCTATGCTGTATGCCCCTTCCCCTACTTCATGAGCTACCCCAAGCCACTTAAGAAGCAACAGTGGTGACAGTTAAGACCCCAAGGCCCAGGGCTGGGGCTAGAGCCTTGGATTTGAGTAGAGACTGGGGCAGACTGCCTTCTAAGACAAAGCTTCTTTCCCCATCCATGTTGAACAGGAAAAAAAACCTCTCATTTTTTATTCAAGTAAATATGGCAAGTATTTTACATTTAGTCAAGTTCAGTCTAGTACAACATTCTGCATAACCCAATTTTTCTTTGGTTTCATAACTGTGCATTTAACATTGCCAAGGCACGAAAAGAGTTTTTCATTATTTGTGCTGTGGATTGCAAAAAGACAATGGTCAAATCTGAAAAAGCAGTCTGTCCTAACCTGCCAGAACTCAGTAATGTCCTTTTCATTTAGTCCAATCATACATTCACTGGGATATTACCCTCGAAGGCTCATTTGCTGGAACAGATATGATTATCTAAGTAGAAAACTCTACAAGGTTAAGCACTAATACTACATCAAGTAAGTGCACTTGGATGACATGAACGACCATTGTGCTCCTAGTAATAACGCAGTATCTGGCACATGTTTTTCTTCTGCCCCTTCTCTCCTCCCTTTGTCTTTAAGTACTCCAAAGGTTGTCAAAATTGACTAGAAGAGTTTCTCCTTGGAGAAAGTTCACACACGTTCCCTTCTGAGAAAGGCCACAGCAGTCCTCCACCATCCTAGGGTGCTTTGTTCCTGCCCCTCATCCCACATGCTACACCCTGCTCCTCTCATAGACTGTGTCACTTGGTCTAGATTCTATTGCTCCAGCCAAGTAGGGAACAGAACACACTGCCTTCTCAATTCCCACATTGTGCTGCAGGCAGGTTCAGCCAATCGGAGCTTTCCAGTGCACTACTGTCATCTGTCTCCAGGCAAACAAGGGAGCCTGCAAAGCACGCTTAGATGTGGGCACATGGGTGCCTTGGCTGCACAGCACAGCTCTGCTCTTCACGGGGGTCATAATTCAATTGTCTGTTCAAGTGTCTCCAGGTAAGATTTATGTCAGAACCAAATCTGAATGAGGTGCTGGATAACACAGTGTTAAGCACAGACATGCGCTGACAAGCAGAAAATCCCCAGAGGGCTAGTGAGCATGCCCAGCACATGCCCCATGTTCGACCCCACACTTGTCCATCATAAAAGTTCACTGAGGTAATCTGACTTGGCACCATGCGCATGCCTGGACATGCACCAGAAGGGACTAGAACTTTCCAAAAGGGGAGCTATCTGATTGGCCACCTAAAACATACTTAAGACCAGTAAGTTTCCACCCACAGCAGAGACCAGCC